GACGCGGAGGCGGAGGGGCAAAGGGCGAGACGGCAAGACGGGGGCCGGGAAAGTGGGCGGATCCCACTGTTTGCACGGGCGAGTTCGACGCGCAGGCCGGGGGCCTCATGACCACGCATTACGTCGATGCTGACGACAATTCGAAGTACAGGACGGGCCTGAGGGGCGATTTGCCCGCGGAGCGCGCGGTGTCTCCCCGCGCGTTGGGTCGCGCTCGTTTGGTCGAGGTCGGCCGCGGCGACGCGGGCGAACAAGGGCCCGCTGCCTCGACGGCCTCGGTCGCGCTGGAGAAGAGGGCTGCGGAGGACGTAGACTGTGCGGCGCTGGTTGGGGCCCTCGCTGTCCTGGGCGGCGGCGCTGCTGATGCCGTGGGGATCTGAGAAGTGCCTCAGCTGGTGCTTGTTCGATCGTGCGGTCGCTGTCGGAGGTCGCGCGGCGGCAGATGAGGCGTTCGCCAGTGTCGGGGAGGGCGGGTTCGAAGCGCCTTGGCGCCCCCCCCCGCCGTGGCGTGCCTCGCTAAACGTGGTGGACAGATTGTGGAGCTCCAAAAAAGGTTCGAGGCGCTGGGCGACGTCGGGAGGGGCAGACTGCTCCAACGAGCCCCAGCGTCGCGCCAGGTGATGTCCGCAGTGGAGGGGGGGGGGGGGGGCGCGGCAGCTGCCGTGGCGAGCTCAGCAGATCGCGATCGGCCTCGCGCAGCAGGGCGCAGCAGGGCGCAGACGGCGCGGCGCGTCCCGACGACGAGGTCTCGATCGGAGAGGTTTGCGCGGCCGCGGCAGCGGCGGGCGCGCCGACGCGCGCGCCGACAAAGCTGCAGACGCAGTCGCAGCCGAACGACGTCAGAGAGAGCGCGCCCGGAGGCGCAGAGGCTCGCGCTGCCCAGGTCGCCGCCGCCGGCAGCCGAGGCGCGCGCAGCTGCGAGTTCCCATTGAAACCGCGTTGTGCAGCTGGCGGGTACTTGCCCATTGCGAGGTCTGCCGATTTCTGCCATTGCGACGGCGCGTGGGGCTTCGAAAACCAGCCCCACCCGTCGCCCATTACCGAGTGGATCGCCGCGTTGTCGCGCGGGGAGGAGCTCGAGTGCACTCTGCCTGGCGAGGAGCGGCCGCGCGATGCGGCCATGGCCAACCGCTCCCGACTCCCACGGCAGACGCGGCGCATGGCGCATTCGTTCTGGCGGGCGAACCGGGCCACGAGGAGCGCGCGCGCGCGGGTTTGGATACGCTCGCATCGCATGCGCGCGCAAATCAAATCTCCAGCACCTCATCCCGGAAGACATCGCGAACGCGCGTCTCAACATGCACGAGACGGGCAAGAAGTCATCGCTGCAGGGCTTGATGAGCACCAAGGACGCCCCAAAAATGCCGCAGACCGCGCTGGCCTCCATACAGCGCAGCACCTATGGCACCCCCATATCCATCGGCCACCGCGAGCTCCTGCACCGCGAGGGCGCTGGATGCACGGTGCGCTTCGGCCCGCCGACGGTCTCTGCGACTCCCGACTTGGCCGGCGCAAAGCTGGCGCTGCTGTTGGCGGCGCGGCGCAAGGGGGGGTCACTCCGCGAGGCGCGATGCAGACCTGGGCCCTTCCCGCGGGGGGGGGGTCGAGAGGCTCGCGCGAGACCCCGTCGGACAGACCATGGTGTTCGAACTGATGATGCGTTTTTTCTTCGCCCGCGTCCTGGGTTTCCGCTCCGACGCGGTGGGCTGGCGTCGCCGCACGGATCGCGAGAGTTTGGGGCCGGGTTTCTTCGACGGCTGCGCGGCTGACTCCTACGAGGTCGAACTTTCGGTGCCATCGAGGCGCAGGGCCGTGGCCCTCCCCATCCTCGCGTTCGCGTTTGGCTCGTACTCATCTCCACGCGAGAGCTGCTGGGCACTGTGATGAGAGACTCAGCAACCTTCAAGGGACGCTTGGAATTGACGATGCTCGAGCTCGCGCGCGCGGCGGCGCCCGCGCAGGAGTCGGCGGTCGCTGAGTTCGCGGGCTTCTGGCGGAGCGACATTGCAGGCCCGCTGCCGCTCGAGGTGGAGGTCGGCGAACTCCCCGCGGGCCCGAGAGAGCGAGGGCAGTTTGGCGCCGCGGGGGAAGCGGGGCCCCGCCCCGGCGGAGTGCCGGAACACGGGCGAGAGCTAGGGCGAGCAGCCTCCGCATTTCTTTTGCCCAGACCAGGAGGAAGCAGATCAGCGGCAGGAAGCGGGGCGGCCGATGCCGGGCCTTTTCGACGACGCCGGGCAAGGAGGTCGCGGGCAAAGGCGCCCTGTCGGCGGAGCAGAAGGAAGAGAGGAGAGAGAGAGAGAGAGAGAGAGAGAGAGAGAGAGAGAGAGAGAGAGAGAGAGGAGAGAGAGAGAGAGAGAGAGAGAGAGAGAGAGAGAGAGAGAGAGAGAGAGAGAGAGAGAGAGAGAAAACAATAAAAGAGAGAGGGAGAGAGTGATAGAGAGAGAGAGAGAGAGAGAGAGAAAAAAAAAGACAAATAGGGTGAGAGAGCGATAGAGAGAGAGAGAGAGGGAGAGAGAGAGAGAGAGAGATAGCGAGAGAGATCGCGGCACGCCACTGAGCGATTTTACCACGGGACAACTGCCGCCCTTCCGTCTCGGGCACAGCGCGCAGAGCCCCATGGGCGAATTCCGACGGGCCATGCCGCCTGGCGACTTCATCTGGAGGTTGGCCGAAGACGCCGACGATCTCGCGTCTGGCCTCGCTGCGCGCGTCTGCCGCCCGTCGCGCTCCAAGGGCCGCCCCAAACGCCCCTCGCAGATCGGCCGCCGTAACTTCTTCCGCGCGGCGAATCTCCGCGGCCCGGGGGCCGACCAGGGGGCGCGCGGCCGGCGGCGCGGCGAGGCCCTGCGCGGATGCCTCGGCATCTTCCGCGAGACGACGCGCGGCGCGTTTGGAAGGATCATCGCCGTTCGAAAGCACCCGGGCGAGTTCTCCACGCAATGCGCGGGCATGTCTGCTATCCGCTCGATCTTGGACCTGCGAGACCTGAGACGCGCGCTGCCGTCCAATCTCTGGTGGGACCCGTCCGGATGCGAACCCCTGCCGACGCCTCCGCGTCTGCGCCAGACTACTCCCGCGGCGCCTGCCCGCTGCGACCCCGCGACCTCGGCATCGGCGAGCAGGGGGGCCGGGGTTGGATGCAACGCCAGGGGGCCACGGGACATCGTCGCCGTGCCGTCGCGGCAGACTGGCTGCCCATCGGGCCCAGGTCACCCAATCCGACGATGGGCACTGTGCTCGAGGACATGCTCGACGGCGCGCGTCGCCTGACCGACGACTAGTGCGAGGCCGACGCGGCGCCGCCTGTGGAGAGCGAGAATGGAGTAAAAGCGCACCGCCCGCCCAGTTCCTCGCGCGCGCGGGGCCGCGCTTCCACCGTGCCTCCTTGAAGTCAGAACATAAAAAACATGCACGCAAAGGGTTTTATTTGTTTTACGCCGGAAGGGGGCGTCGTTGAGAGGGCGCCTGGCACGGATGCGGGGATCGGGGTGGACTCGGTGTTTGGCGCTGGCGGTTTGCGCGGCAAGCGCGTTTAGTTGGTCGCATTTGCTCGGAACGCGTGACGGTTGGAAAGGCCGCCCACCAGCAACTGGCAGTCGTTTGCCTGCGGGCCAGAACAAATCGCCGCGGGCTCGCAACAGGGCGCAGGAAAGGGAGTTGGGAAGAGAGAAGCCCCTTCGATATGCAGCCAACAGTTCTTTTTCTATTCATCTGCCGAACGGCCAACCGAACGAACGAACAATTGTCTCGGCGCGCAGCGTTAGCTTTTCTTGCGCGCATCATGGCTTCCTGCCGTTGCTTCCTACGCTTCTTTCTCGCCCTCCTCTTCCTTTCCCTCTTCCCTTGCTTTGCCTTGCCCCGCCCCCCCTTCCAGCTCGGAGCTGCCGCCGCGCGCGAAGAGCGCAGCCCAAAGGGCGTTGCTGCAATTCCTTTGTGTGCCACGAAGTCTCGCGCAATTCCTTCGCGCACGGTCTGGTTGCACTGCCGGCGCGGGGGGCGCGCGAACCCCCACAAGAGGACACGCCATTCCTTTGCGTGGAGCTTGCTCTCCCGCCTCGAGGAGCGCGCGCGGCCCGGCGCGCAATCGCAAGGCCGCGGCGCCTGGCAGCGCGATGCAGCTGCGCCGGATTCTACGCCCAAAACGATCCTACGTGGACTTTGGCTCTTCTGCCGAATTCGCGCTGGCAGGTGGCCAGCCGCGTCGCCGGCCCTGCGCGCCCGCGCGCGCTACTGCGTTCTGCTGCCGCGACGCGTGCTGCTGTCAACGGATGAACAAACTGACGTTGCACGGTGGTTTGGCTGTGCCAAACCACCATGGAATGTTTGTTGGTAGCGGATCTTGGGATCTTGTCGCCGCCGGCAGCTTTGCCACGCCATGCGTCTCAACTGCGTCCTAGGGCACGGCCGTGCATCAACCCTGGTTCGGATCGGTGGGGATCCAGTGGCATGTGTGCACATGCGTTGCACCGTTGGTGGTGCCAAAACCCTTTGTGCGAAATTCCTTTGCGTGCTTGTTTTTCTGGCTCCTAGGAAGAGCGGGGCGGAGATGATGGCCCCCTTGCTAATGGAGGACGCGACGTTCGTCGCGCAGCGCAAGAAAGCGACAGCTGCCATCTGGCATGCGGGCTCGGCCTGGCGAGTTCTTTCCGGACACCTGGAGGCGCAGGAGAGGGAGGGCGAGCGCCGCGCTGCCGGCCCAGCTGCGCCTGTTCGGACGGGGCCGAGGTCGCCCTGCCATTCGACTTGCGGTGCACGGCGCGGGACGGCTGGCGCTTTGCGCCAAACCCGACGGCGAAGTGCGCGCTTCTCTGGATCTCCTCAAAGTCAAAGAGACGCTCAAGTCGCAGGTGCGCTCGGGGCAGGCGAGCGCCAGCCTCGGCGCGGCCTTCCAGGCGCTCAACACATTTCCATGGAAGTAAACGAGGGCGTCGTCGAGGACGATGTCGCAGCGCCGATCCTGTAGGCGGCGATGGTGCTTCCAGCGCAGATGCCTCTCGGAGCAGGTCTACCATGCTGTCGTGGTTCAGCTGGGCGACGTGCTGCATCGCGGCACGGGCCCCATTATGCGCGACATGAACTTGTGCGTGCACAGCATGTTGGTGCACCGCGTCAAGAGGAACCTCGCCGCGCGGGAGGAATCGCCTGGCAGTCCGTGGTTCGTGGACATGGAGTTCGACGAGGGTTGCCCGTGTCGGAACACTTCCGCGCGGCGACCCGCGTTTGGGCCGCGCGTCCCGATGCCCAAGGGCATTCGTTTCATCTCCGAGAGTGCATGGCGAAGGCCATCATATCCCGCCCCGCGCGCCGATGCCGCGATCGGCGAGGTAGACTTGACCAGGGAAGCGCGCCCGCAGCATGCCGACTCGGCGACTCGCGCGGCGCCGCCCGGGGGGGGGGCCGCAGCCCGCGCAGAACTTCGGGTCGGATAACCCAGGGCCGTTCCAGCGTGGTTGGGCGGTCTTCCACGGAGAGCAGGAGAAAGCGGCGTCCGAGGCACGGCGAAAGAACCGCCCTGCGGCCGCAGTGCCCAGCCTCTGGCGGACCGTCGAGGCGCGCGGGCGGCTATTCCAGATCGGTGCCGTGGGAGAGAACGGCGAGGAGACCGACGACGCGCGCTTGCAGGGGGGGGGGGGCGTCGCTGCCTTCCGCGCGAGAATGCATCGCGGCCGTCACGGCGGTGACTTCTTCGAACGTCGAGCGCATTGCCTGGGCGCGCGCGAGGCCAGGCAGACGAGGGACGCAGCGGCTGCGCCCGAGGTCATCGCCCACCATGGACGAGAGGGCGACGGCCAGGCGGGCGGCCAGATCGAAGTGGCCGCCCTGCGCGCGACGGCTGGCCTGGCCCCACCCGGCTCGGACGCGAGGAGCCTTCGCCGTCTTCTTCCGGGGGTCTTGCGCGAAGGCATTCGCCTCGAGACGGCGGGCGTGACCTAGAGATTCGCGAGGAAACTCATGGCCGCGTCTGCGACGACCTTCGACGACGGCGGTCTGTCCGCGCCTCGACGCCGCGCGGGGGGCGCCGACCAGCGCGCGTCACGCGTGAAGTAGGGCGCTTTCAGGAGCTACGACGCGCTCGCGCACTATGGCCCAGACGCGCTGAAGTCCTGGAGCTGCAAGGAGAGCGCCGAGGAGGAGCTGCCAGTCCAGGTCTGCCCCGCGCCTTCTGCGAGAGAGACAGGAAAGCGGCTGCCCTTGGGGCCCGCGAGGGGAAGGCGCCATGCAGCCCTCGCGCCGAGGCCCCGAACCGAAGGCGCACCTCGCGCCCAGCGACGCGCGGCGCAGCCCAATGCGCGGCGCATCTCACGCAGAAGTTCGAGGATGGGCCTCTCGACCCGATCGCTAAGAAGCGAGTTCCGCGCGCGCTGAAGTGGGGCCAGACGCTGTTCCTAGCAGCGCCTTCGCCACGCCAGCCAGCAATGCCGCGCGGGAGGGCGAGCGGGAAGGCAAGCCCTGGGGGCGTTGGCAGAGCTTCCAGATGCTGGCGTTGAGTCAGGGCAGCTCAGGCAGAACGGCGATCGCGCCGGAGATCGCGCCGCCTGCCACGCACGCCCTCTTCGGGCAGGATGCCTCCAATATCGTCTGCGCCAAGTGCTCCCAGGCCGAGCAATGCAAAGCGACCGCGTGCCGCGGCGCCGCGCAGATGGGCATCGGGGAGCGCCGATGCTGCTCGCTGCCTGCTGCCGACGTCCTGTCGCAGATGACCGGTGCGACTGGCGATGCTGCCCGCTGCCGGTGCCCGGGCACGACTTAAGAAGAATTGAGCGCACGTGCGGGTGTTCGCCATCGAGGAGATCAGCATGGCGTCGCCGAGCCTTCAAAATGCTCGCCCACCGCGCGCGCCTCCCACGCCGGGCGAACGGAGTGCTACTTGCAGCCGCCACGATCTACTTCGGGAACTTCGGGCCCGGGCGCGCCATTGCTTTCCGATCAGCTGTCGGCCGCGCCCGACAGTCGCAGGGAGGGGCCGCCCGTCGAGCATTGGACGGCGAGGGAAATATTCCGCGAAGTTGGTCTGCGCGTCGAGCCCCAGCCACGGCGCTTCGTGGGCCCCGACCTCGCCGACCTCATGAACCTTGGAGGGGGCGAACTGGGCCATCCAGGGGGTGGATGAACAAGTGGGCCGTTCATCGGGTGGATGGAAGCGCGGTGGTGCGAGAAATCACAGCTGGGATTGCGGATGGCTCGGCCGTCCACTTTCACCTCGTCCCTCAACCATCTTTGCTGGAATCAGCTCCTGCCAGCTAGACAGCCCTGGGCCCTCTCGACTGTCTCCACTTCTCTTGCGTATTTAATGGTCCCACTGGCTTTCGATCTCTTCTCCCTTCATGTTTTCTCAGTGTCCTCCACACCTGTACTGCTGCCCTTCTAGACGCGGTGCACTCGCCTCGACGTTGGGTTGTCAAAAAAAGGGGGAGGAGGAGGGGAGGAGGAGGAGAAGGAGGAGAAGGAGGAGGAGGGAGAGGTGATAATGGGATGAATGAGGGAGGAGGAGGAAAAGGAGGTTCATAAGGATGAGCATGGAGGACGATGAGGGAGGAGGGCGGGAGCAGGATTGCGGAGGATGATGGAGGAGGAAGGAGGGGGGGCGGAAGGATGAGGACATGTGAGGAGGAGGAGGAGGAGGAGGAGGACGACGACGACGCGGGGCGAAAAGGGAGAAAAGGGACGACGAGGTGCGGGGCGAGAGGGCAGGAATGCTGGCGGGAGGGAGGGATGGAGGGAGGCATGGGAGCAGGAGAAGGGGAGGGAGAGGCGGGGTGGTTTGGGATCGGTGCAAGGGCGCCCTGGGTCGCGGGAGCCAAGGCGGCCAGGCGCGCGAGTACCCTTCCCCCGAGGCGCGGAACGCCTTTCCGAGGGAGCTCTGGGAAGGGGTTCCATGAGCCGGGTGGATGGCCCACTTGGGGCCTCGGAGCATCAGCCGGACGGATGGCCCACTTGGGGCCCTGGACCAGTGCAGGGGTACTGGGTGCCCCGGTGTGATGTTCCATGAGCCGGGTGGATGGCCCACTTGGGGCCTGGGGGCGGCGAGGGGGTTGCGCGCAGGGCGTGCGAGGGTCGGGGGCGTGCATGAGCCGGATGGATGGCCCACTTGGGGCCTCGGGGGGGGCGGCCTCCAGGAGCCGGGTGGATGGCCCACTTGGGGCCTCGGAGCATCAGCCGGACGGATGGCCCACTTGGGGCCTGCATTCGGCCTCCGCGGAACAGCGTTCGGGAAGGGCTGCGCGCCTTCCCGGAACAGCGTTCGGGAAGGGCTGGCGGCGGAGGGAATGGGGAGGGGTGGGAGCGGGAGAGCACGAGGTTGGAAGAAAGGGGCAAATGGAGGGAGGGAAGGGGAAGGGGACGGGGGAAGGCGAAATAGGACAGGGGAGCTGGGGGAAGGGAGGGGGAGGGGGGGGGGAGGGATGAGGGAGGCAGAGTGCGAGAGAAAATGGGCGCGGTTGGCAGATGTAAGTAGCGGGCTAGCATCAGTGAGGCGCTGAACGACACTGGTGTGGGACGCGGGGCGACGACGACGACGACGACGACGACGACGACGACGGGGGCGAAAAGGGGAGTGAAGGGAGAAAAGGGGAGGTGGCGGCGGAGGGGGCAAGGGGCTGCGCGGTGGGCGGAGGCAGGGGGAGGGCCAGCACGGGAGCGTGCACGGGGCAGACCAGGCGAAGTGGCCACTTCGGCGCCACAGAAAGGGCGCGGCGGTCGACGGGCACACCTAGGACGAGAAGGAGAGAGGGTGGCAGAACAGCAATTCCAAGGCTGCCCCTCGCAGACAATTTGGCTTCACTCGCGCGGCCTGATCCCGCTTCGAGGTGTCTCCATGTCGACGCGGTAGCGGGCCGTGGGCCGAGGCGACCGAACTGCTCCGAACGCTGGGCGGAAAGGCGTTCCAGAAATCTTGGAACGCCTCCCCGAAAGCCGTTCCATGCACCCTTTCGACGGCCCACCTTCTGGATGGCCCTGTTCGCCCCGCCTAATGAACCTCGCGCGGAGGCCCCTCGTAAGATCGCGAAGACCTGGCAGCGCATCCAGATGAAGCCCAACAACAAGCGGCTAAGCGAGGAGCGGTTCCAGACGGGGCGCATGATCGCTTGATTCTGGGGCACCGTGGCCTGGTGAATGATTCTGCGCGCAAGGAGAGGTGCCGCGTCTCTGGGGCAGGGTCTTTACCTCGCCCAGGCTGCCGCCTCGTCCACGCCTCAGTTACCTGTCGATTTGGCCGCTAAGTTGGCGAACCAGGCGCATTCTGCGCCTCGCTAGCGGCGTTCACAGGGCGTTGCCTTGGCGAGTCGGCGCGCGCGCGCGCTCCTGCTGGAGCACTGAGGCCTCGAGAAGGGGACTCGTGGAGGACGCCGAGGGCGGGGTCGCGCGCGCGGCCGTCCAAACCGCGGGCGAGGGCGAGGCGGGGGCAGCGAAGGCCGAGCGACGGCCCGCTCACCCGCGCTGCATGCTTTGCGGGGCGCGGGCGCGCATGAGCAGATGCAGGGTGGGCCGCGGCGGCGAAGGGCTTGCGGGGCTCGGCGCTTGCATCGATGCCGCTGATGCGGCGGGCCTCAGCTCGTTTTCATCGGGCTGCAGACCTCGAGCCCGTTCGGGTTTCGCAGGCGCGAGGTCGCGCGCGCAGGGCGGGTCGTTTCGCGCGCCGAGGTCCTCGTGTGCACGGCCTTCCAGGGCCAGGCCATGCGCGGCGGAGTCGTCTTTGACGCTGGGCGCCGGGTGCAGGGGCGCGGGCGATTCGGGCGCGCTCTGGCTGCACCTCTTACGTGATGCTCTCGAGTGCGACCGCGGTGAACAACCTGCTGATGATGCGCGACCCTGGGTTTGATTTCCCTTCCCGCGGCAAGGCCGCAGACCTGGCCGCGCGCCTGCGCGCGTTTGGTGCTCGCGTGAAGAGGCGCAAGGGGGGGGCGGAGAGGCTGGCTGGCGGGCGAGCTAGGCCTTCGTGCTTCCCGAGAGTAATCACAGGAGCTTTCAATTTTCCCAAGCGCCGCAGCAACGCAGCGCGCTGGCCGCGCGTTGCCCATGCTTCATCATCGCGCTGCTGCTGCTGAGGTGGTTGTCCCCCCCCCCCCGATGTCTTCCTTTTGCTCCCCCACTCCCCTTGCAATGCCTCCCGTTGTTTTGCGTCTGTTCTGCGAGTCGGCCGCGCGCACTTAAACCCTCTGTTGCAGTGATTTTGTCACGCGATTGCCGCCGCACCTTATATTTTCTCTTGTCTCCGATGGGTTGGGCACGTCGCGTGGCAATTTATCCCCCCGCGATAACGGCCGCAGCCGCGGGTGGGGGGGATGGGAGGACGGGTCTGGTCACATCACGATTCGCGCTGGCGCCGTTTGGGGTATTTCAGAGTGTCAAATTGCCGGACGGCGCCGGCGCGATTCGGGACGTGACCAGGGGTGGGGTGGGGACGGAGGGTGGGCGGGGCCATTCTTGGGCGTCATCGCGAACAATAGATAGAAGCATGTGGTGTTTGATACTTCTTTGTTTCTTTGTCATTCTCGTTCGACCAGGTGCCATCGAGGGCAAGAACGCGTTTGTCAAGTTTCTCGCACCCTGGTGAGGCGACGCCCCCCGACCGATTGCGGATTGTCGCCACCGATTCCATGACAGTTTGAGAGAGAAACGGCATTGATTTTTTCAGGATGCAGGAGGGGGGGAAGGAAGGATAAGAGAGGTTGGCATAAGGATCGAGGAGGGAGGCGCGATAATTGGTGAGGAGGGTGACCTGGCCATGGTGGGCAACCTGGTGAGTATTGGGCGTTCCCGCAGCGTTTCAAGAATTTGCGGGGATGGCAGCGACGTCGGGCAATTTGATATGACGCCAGCGGTATTTCACGCATGTGACTCCAAGTGCACCCATTCCTCACGT